GATATAGGGTAGCTACTTGGAAAAGTCAGACTGATGCCTTCCGCTAGGACTTGGGGTTTGTTCCTTGTGTCTGATGCACAGAAAAGTCACAACCTGAGAAGGGAATGGCTCATCCTCCACTCCCTGCATTTGTTTGGCTGATTCCCTCCCCTCAGATCTGCAGAAGTACTGTTGGATATCCACTCAGGTGACCTACAAGTCACAAAATACTCCAGCTTTTAGTTGGTCCCCAAGTTCTGTTAACCGCCTGTCTTTTGAATCCACCCTCTCTTTTCTTTTCCACTGGCACTAGCTCTCCCACCTTGCCGGGGATTTAGCTCAGTGGTGCCACCGCCTGCCTCCCAAGCACAAGGTTCCAAGTTCGATCCCCAGTACCAAAAAAAAAAAACAAAACGAATCTCCCGCTTCAAACATTTTTTTTACAACAAATCAACATGATATCAGAACCCACAGCCTCTCCTTTCCACCCAGGCCCTTCTCTGCTGGCTGCATTTTTCTTAAAGCAAACCAGGCCTGGTCACTGCTTTGCTCAGTGGCTTTCGACAGTTTAGCCCCTGCAGTCCAGCTCAGCTGGCCAGAGGCCCTTTGCAGTCTAACCCTGCACTACTCTGCCCCTGGCCATCCCCCCGCCCCAAAGTTCAAGCTGTATCAGCAACCATGCATTTTCCAGCCCTTCTGAGCCACTATTTCTGCTGCCAGCCCTTAGCTCCACTCCCAACTAGTATTAGCACCAGGGACAAGTCACTTTACCTCCCCATGAGCCCATTTCATCATCTCCAAAAAGAGGGGGTTCTTACGGCTTAGATCTATAATGTTTCCCCGAAGTCTTGCTTTTAGAGTTGGGAACTTTAGAAGGTGACTGAGTTGTGAGGACACTGTACTCATCAGTGGATTCGTCTCCTGATGAGTTCACAGCTGATTGTGTTGTTCATAGGTGGGGCCTGGTCAGAACAGGTAGGTCACCAGGAGGTGGTGACCCAGAAGTGTTTATTCTACCAGCTCCTCCCTGCCATCTCTCTGCATCTGGAATGCCATGCAGCTAATAGCTATCCTTTGCTATAGTGTTTTTGTTTTTGAGTGAACTGACCATAGACTGATTCCACTGTAATCAAGCCAAAATAGAGCTCTCCTCCTTTAAATTGCAGGTGTCAGGTATTTTGTCCCAGTGATAGAAAAGTAATGAATACAAGGATATAATGGTACCTTTCTCATTATGTGCTCAAAAACCCTAAGACAAATCAGCACATTTAAGCTTCACTGCTAGTGCCATGTAAGTGTTCATCAGCATTTTATTTCTAAGTGCATACCTCTCTTCCCAATTTGATCAGGAAATCCTAGAAAGCAGGGTGGTCTCAGTTGTCTCTTAATATCCAGTGCCCAGCACATACTAGGTGCTTAATACATATTTGCTCAACAAACTGACTTATTATTACTCTGCCAGGTGCCATTGTTCATTGGTCAGCTGGTGAACCTGCAGAATTGTTTGCAGTGAGCTTCAGTCCCCCAGGGTGCGTTGATCAGCAGCAGGCCCATCCCTGTGTCTAGACAGGCTCAGACATTCTGTGGGTCTGGGTGCCTAAGCCTGAGTATTGGGTTCCTCTCTGTCTGAATTCCTTATCACTACCCCTGTTCTCTCCCTCTCAGAGCTGTGAATACAAGTGTTTCTACTCTATCTGAGAGGACTTTGTAATTCAACACCCTTGACCTTGGGCTGGAAATGTGTCCTTTTCTCATTGTGAGAGTTCACTCTCTGTGGTTTCAGAACAGGGGAATATGCCAGGACTTTGGGATGTTGTCACAGCTGAATGGAAGAAAGAGAAAGGGATGCTTCCGTGATGTAAGCACGCAGACAGCACAAACTATCAGGAGCCCTGGCATGGCTCCAGCTCACTTATTTTTGTCCTCTCAGCAAGCGATTCAATACCTGATCATTTCTGCCAAGAAATAACAACAATTGTTGCTGTCTGGGACTTTGCTGGAGAAATGAGTCCTGTTGAGCCTCTCAGGTAAAGATACTGATAGAGTTTTGACAGGATGTAGCAGAAAGCTACAAGGCAATTCAGAAAGCAGAGACCTGGAAGACATGAAAGAATTCTAGGAACTGGGATGGGAGAGAGAAATAGAATTCAGCAATTGATTTTGAGAAAAGGAAGGGCCAGGGCCGAGAATTTAGCCCAGTGGCGCCACACCTGCCTTGCAGGCTCAAGGTCCTGAGTTTCATCCTCCTGAAGAAAAGAAAGGGCAAGGCATCTGGAATTCTCTACACCTTTGTACTTAAATCAAAACATTTAGGATATCTCTGGGCATATGTGTCTTTTCTTTCCCCCTGGAGCAAATGGGGAGTATTGAAAGAGAACATAACTTTCCACACCAGAGCCTGTCCCAGCTCTCTGTTCTTTAGGTTCTGGAGGACTTCTGGCTTGGGCAGGAGTCCTCAGCCTAGGTTTCTCTTTTGAAGAGTTAATCCTTGTTTTGTACTGTCCTCTTACAGAACTATTTGCTGAAACCTGTGACTATGACTTAATTTTTTATCCCTACCCCATTCTTGATCTACCTTTCCATAGATTTCTTGATCCTACACCTCTTCCTATTTTCCATTTTTCTCCAGCTTCCTCATTTTCAGGGCTTCCTACTCCCCTCTCTCTTGCAATTCCTTGTGACCTCAGCTTCCCAGTATTGGCCTGGTAGGGAGGGACTATGGAATAAGACAGAGCTTGGCACTTGCTTAGCCACCTATACCCATTGGTGACAGCCAGTATGGGGAGCTACCTTGGCTGCAATGGTATGGGACTTTGGCTGCTTGGGCTGGCAAAGTTCTTGAAGACCTTAGTCTACCCTAGAAGCAACACGGACACATCTTAGTTTCTGTTTTGCTTGAGCATGAGTGAGTTATACTCTTGCTCTGTAATATCATTTCTTTACTCATCCAACATTTACTGAGCATTTACCACATGCCGATGACATGTTCTGGAGATTGGAAAACACAAGTGCAAACACAATCCAGTTTCCATGCAGTGCTCACAAGGTGGTGAGCAATCTGTTACTTTTGAGATGGACTACAATGACGAGTATTATACTATTAACAATATGAAAAAGATGGGTGGATGGAGGAAAAATGGATCCACAGACCACTCTTCCTCTCAAATGTTGACTCCATCTTGGGTGGTCACATGGTGGCTGCCATGATATAAGTAAACATTTCTGATGTCAGGTTTATTTTGACTTTATCTGAAAAACAGCCCATTTCCTTTACTTAGAGAAGGAGGAACAAACAACATTAATCATTAGCTTTTTTTCACCAGAGGTGACTACACAGATGTCTCTAATTCCGAGTGGCTTTCACCAGCCAGCCACATTTTGGCCACTACTCATTGCAAGGTAGACTTAGGTTTTAGTCTCACAGAATGCTACTATGAGTGGGGGGCTGTGTGAAAGGAGAATGGAGAGGAAATTTTCAAGAACCTCTTTTTGGAAAAGGTAGATGAATAGGAAGATGAAGAAAGGAATGTGGTAATAAAGGGGTAGGTTTGGAGTTAGAAGAGTAGATGTCTAGTTCCAGCTGTTTGCCAATTGACCTAAAGTGTCTGGGCCTTAGTTTTGTCATCTGCAAAATGGAGGTGACAACAACATCCACCTCATGGAGCCATTGTGAGAACTGGATGAGACATGAATGAAAAGCACTTAGAGCACAGGTACAGCTGTTCTGGGGATGACAAAGAACAGGCTGGATGACTTTGGAATTCATTTATAAACACTGGCCACAGCATCGTCATCTGCAGAAGGAGCACGTTTCACAGGATCATTTGGAGTTCTGTTCAGTGACATTCCTTGAGCATCACACTGGTCAGGCCCCGCACCTGCCTTTCGGGGGGAAGGGGACAGGTACACACACAGATGATGCTGACAGAAGACCTGGTCTCAAAGAGCTGCTGGCTCAGGATGGCTTGGGCTCTGAAGGGTGAATGGAGATGCTCTCTCTTCTTTTGCTGAAAAACATTTTGAGGGATAAAAGCCAGGTTAAGCACTCCAGGTTCTTGATGGGCTGGCCTCACTTCCCTGTTTCTGCTTCTCCACCCTTGGTGCCTTACACTGTGATATTTATGGTTTCTAAAAAACACACCATACCTTCTTTCCCTCACCTCCTTCCCATTTTTGTACAAGGGCCTCCTTTTGTCCCAGAACAGCTTCCTGCCTTACTGGGGCCCAGCAGGCACAGGCCAAGGCCCTGGGATCAGACCAGGGTTCTCAGATAAGCTTTGCTTTGTGCAGCCAGCTGCTGTGTCAAACTGTCCCTTGGTGAGTCAGCATCCTCGCCTGCAAAATGTGGACACAGGATGACAGTGATGCCTACTCCGAAGCAAGTGTCATCCCCAGGATTAACTCGGGCAGAATAAGCAATGTGCTCATCAGTGGGAGCGGAAACCACTGAGCACCACACTAAGCTCATCTGGCTTCCTTCTTCCTGCACTTCTGGCTGCAGCTCAGTCCCGTCCTCTGGGGGGACCCCTGGTCCCCAGGCCCCTGTGAGTCTCCTAATGCAGCCCCCCCCCCCGATCCCTGTCTTCGCGGGTCCGTCCGGAGTGCACGCTCCAGAGCACCGGGCCAGTTGACCGCGCTGGGCCTAGGAGGGACATGACAGACACTCTTAAGTTTCAAATGAGCGGCACAGGGCGAGGTCCCAGTGTCCCCGTGGGTGGCAGAGACGGCTGGGGACAGCTAGGGCAGGGATGGGACGAGCTCGGGTCTCCAGTCCAGACTCGTCCTCCCAGACTGCCACGGAGTCGCAGAGCCAGAAGGGGACCCGTGGCCCGTCAGTGCCCCGGGGAGAAAATGCTGCGGGACGGGTCTGGCCAGTGCAGGCCCCGCCCCTCAGCCCGCCAGGCCCCGCCCACACCGTCCCTCTCCGGCCCCCGGCCACGCCCCTCCTCTTTCCGACCACGCCCCTAACCAGCCTCTCTGGTCCCGACCACGCCCCAATCCTGTCCCTTCTCCCGGCCCCGCCCCCGCCGTTCCGCAGCCCCGCACTCTTTACTCTCCCCAGAACGAGAGCTGGTGCCCGCCCGCATCGGCAGCCCTGCGGGATGCTGCGCTCCACATCCACCGTCACCCTGCTCTCAGGCGGCGGCGCCCAGGCGTCCGGAGCGCCCAGCAGGCGGGTGAGTAGCGGAGGAGCCAACCGGTCTGACTCCCACTGGCTGCGCATCCTGCCTGTCCCCTCCTGTCCCCTCCTGTCCCCTCTTATCGCTTCTGTCCCCTCCTGTCCCCTTGCCAACTCGGTTGCAAGACGGGCTGGGGGGATTTCTGGAGTCCAGAGCTTCTTACTCTTTCCTGTTTCTGTCCCCTCGCTGGTGGTGGCACTGGATTAAAGAGCAATGGAGACCCACAAGTGATGATTGTTTAAGATTCAAACTTTCCTCCTTCCTCGGATTGGAAGGAAGGAGGCGTCCTGCATCCACTGGTGACAGGGCATCACTGATTCTGGAGCTGGTGTTGCCCCCGCGGTGCCTGTTTGCAAACCAGGGCTTAGCAGCCCGCTACGCGCGCTCACACCCGAGCGACCTGGGCTTATCCCCGAGCACCTTGGCAGCAGGCTGGTCCTGAAAGCCCTGAGAAGCAGGGCCCGGAGGTTTCCCCGTGGAAGCTGTTTCTATGTGCGGTCTTTGCAGTGTCCTCCCCACCTCACCAGTTGCTCTGTGAAAGAATCGCTAGGTGCCTGCAGGGTGCATCTTACACATTCCTTGTTCCTTCAAAGATCAGGGCCTCAGTGCGCACTGCTAGGCTCTTGGCTTGTGGGTTTTCAGTTTTTACATTATTATGGTGTTCATTTCCGATCCTTTGGCATCTTTTTACTGTGATCCAGACTGCCTTAGCCAAGTTTCCTCCAGGTTTATCTGCACTGGTGGTTAACTCCAAACCCAAGCCCACTCTGGGACTCCGGTAAAGCCAAGTCCTGTTTTGGACTCCTGTCTGTTTGCTAGTCTTACACCCATGCTTGTTTGCTTTTACATACTTTAGCCAAAAGTGAGACAGTGGTCACCTTGTAAGCTTTCTTTTCTTTTTTTGGTACCGGTGATCGAACTCAGGTCCTTGTGCTTTTGAGGTAGGAGGCGGAAACACTGAGCTAAATCCCCAGCCCCTCTAGTAAGCTTTTTTTAGCTGTAGAAGAAAGGTGTGTGTTACTCTTGGGTGTGGGCCAAGTGATAGGGTGTGTGTGGGTGTACGTGTGTTCGTGTGTGCATGCACGCACATACCAGACATTGTGGCTCATGAGACTGTAGATGTCCAGTCATTCACTGCATCAATTTCAGGGAGCTTGAGAGGACTTTGGAATTCCCACAGCTTTCCTCCCTCTCTGCCTCCTTCACTAGTGAGATTCACTTGGGTCCAAGTGGGTTTCCAGCCACAGGCCTAGCCTCACTCATGTGGGTATTTCCCTTTTTTTTTTTTTTTTTTTTTTTTTTGAATCATTGTTGATCTGAGCAAAGTTTTGATGGAGAAAGAATAAAGGCACTGAAATGATAGCCCCAAGCTGGAGCGGGTCCAGCTGCCTCTAGACCCGGGGACTGGCTGGGGTGGCCCATGTGGGACTGTGGTAGATCCAGGCATGGCTAGTATACCTTGGAACATTTTGAAGTTTTTTTCCCCCCCTCAAATATTTGCTTTTGAGTATTTCTTTAGTGCTAAGTGCTTTGGTATCTGGTACACTGTGGCACTATTGAGAGGGCTTTGCCTTTTGAGGAAGACTGCATAAATACCTTGGACCTGAGGACTCCGGCTGTGAGTCACACTGTGCAGGGCTGTCCTGGGCACACTGCTACATTTCTGTAAAGAGGATATCTAAAGGTTCTAGAGTCTGCCTTATCTTTATGATTCCCTGCTCTGCCCATGATTTATAAATATCGCAAGTGCTCTGTGTGTGTGTGTTGAAGGGTGCAGAGTGTTGGAAGTGGTGATCCACTGGTTGATTAATGGACTGACTGAGCATTTATGATCTCTGATAGTGGTGCAGGGCTGGACACTGGGGTCCATTCTACCTGTGGAGACAGATATTGTCACAGACTGCCATCATACAGTGCTGTGACTGTTGTTGTGAGGTAGAGTGTTCCTAGAGATCTGTGAAGTTAAAAGGTTCTTCTCCAGGTATTCACTGCAGGGCATTCATGAGCTTAGTCTTGCAGCATGAGCAACAGTTTGTAGGGCAACTGACACTGAAAGGAGAAACTACCATTCATCTAAATGCAATACTTGACATGGCTGTATGACAATGACGTGATGGACCTGCTTTGGGGAAAACACACACACACACACACACACACACACACACATATACTTTTTAGAAAAAGAAGAATGGAATGCCTTGAAAATAAATTGTAAGCTGAACAGATCATCGTGAAAAGTGTCCCTGAGATTGCAACATTTTCATCAGGCCTGTAGGGTTCTCTCATTTGTCTCTGATGATGGACAACTGATGACCTTGAACAGGACACACTGGCTGTTAAAATAAGTCTTCTGTTTCACGCACAGGCCTTAGCCAGTTAATGGCTGTGGGGGAGACCAGGCTATGTTGGCCCAGGAGTCCAAGCCAGCCAGCATCGGTGGTGACAAGGGACAGCGAGCACAAGCTTTTTGAGTCAGCGGCCAAGGGCAGTATGGCCAACCAGACTGTCACCAGTTATCTTCTCAGTGATGCCACCTGCAACTGTACTTCCTTCTTATCTGAAATCATCTCTCAAGGGGGAAAAACAGGCAGGGAGAGTAATTTCTGTTAGCTGATAAACAAAACTCAGAAGTGTGTATGGATGCCAACCAGCAGGAGTTGTGAAATTAAAAAAAAAAATCTGCCTTCAAACCAGTTGTGCACTAAAAATAGTTTTATCTATGGCAACAGCAGGGAGATACATTGTTTAGAGAATAACCACAGCCAGAATGATGACCTTGGGGAATGGAGGGGGCATTTTTAAAAATATTGACATTACAACATGATTTTGAAAGGAATTTTGTCAACAGAAGTTAATTGCTGTGTGAACCTTTGCAAGGAAAGGCTGCTTGTGTGGCCTGGCTGTGCACTTCGGGTTGAGGGCACCTGTGGCTTTGTCCAAGTTGTCCCTCGAGGGTGGGGTCAATGCCAGGCCTGTCAAGAGTGTTCTCCAGCACTGGGCTCTGTTGACAATAAGAGGTTGGTGGCTGTTGTCGCTGGCGTCATGGCCTCTCAGTGGCATGGAAAAACCAAACCAAAGAAAGCCCCCAAAGGCCACAGGATGGAGCTGTCTTCTAGCTTGCCCTCACCCTGCCTCAGACTTCCTCTGTTCAAAACCAGAATGGGCCTGGCAGCCATTCCTTTCTGGTAAATGCACCGCTCCTGCTCCCCAATGTCCCATTGCTTTCCAGTTGGCTCAAAACAAAGAATTTCCCTTAGCCAGGCCTCAGAAGGGTCAGACAGGTGTTCACATTCCTTCCTTTCCCAGCAGACAGAATCATCTGTGTCCTCGAGCTCTGTGACATCCTACAGGCACTGAGGAAGGACGCGAGGTGTTTGTCAGACCTCAGCATCTGGTAGAAGGAATCTGGGGGAGGGCAGAGTCTTGCTGCATCCAGAAGACAGGTTGAGTCCTCCCCAGGGTCCTCCTGAGCCCGCCTCTGACATGCAGAGGCCTGTCAGGAGTTCAGGAGCGAATTTCCAACTTGCATGCCTTTATTCTCCTCTCACGGTGTGTTCAGTGTAGGATGGACTCTTGGGGGAACCTGGGTTATGGAGGTCCCACGCTAGTTCCCCACAAGGTCTGGATGGGGTTCCAGTCCTTTTTCTTGTTCCTGGGGCACTGCAGAAGGGCTGCATGTGTTGTGGTTCCTCTGCTGTGTGACCACATCTGGAGGCTGGTGTCCACCACCATGCTTTGGTCTGGTCACTTGGGAAACCCTTCCACAGCAGTAGCCCTGAGGGGGCTGACTGTACAGTCGAGTCACGAAGCTGTGTGTCCCAGGCTGAGTCACTAGAGAACAAGTCCAGATGCATCAGCCTGGGGTCCTTCAGTGATTGCCTGTGTTGTGATCTTAATGTATCCCCAGGATTTTGCCAACACGAAGGGAAGTCATGCAGTGGTGTTTGCCTCGTTCTCTCTTTAGATGAGTGATAGCTCCTAAATGTCAGTCACATTGCTGACTCTGATCATTTTTTTTTTTTTTTGGCCACAGTTGAGTTTTCTAAAATGCAAATCCAGTTCCCTGGCTCCTCTGTTTCTGGAGCCTCCTTGGTGATCCCAGGAAAGACTCCACACTCTGTGCAGAGGATCAGGGCCTTCTGCCTGGCTCTCGGTCCTCCATCCCCGTGTATTCTCTTCCCAGATGTTCCACACTGCCACTCCCCAAGGCTCTGGAGTGGTTCCTCGCCTCTGTGCCTTTCTCCCTGCTTCTTCTCTGATGAGAGTTCTCTCCTTGAGAAGTCTGTCTTGAGTCCTCCTCCCCTCAGCTTGTTCACATTCCCAGTGACTGACTATTTGAGAAGAAGTCCTGGTGGGATAGATGCTTAAACAGAAGAGTCTCACCAGGGTCCTGAGGAAGCCACAGTTAACACTCCATTGGCAAATGGGGCTGTCAGATCAGAAGGCTTGGGATAAAGCCAGCCCAGCACCTCTGACCACCAGGGCAGGAAACAGGTGACAGCTGGTTGGAATGCTGGCCAGGTGAGGAGGTTGATGGTTCTGGGAAGGCCTCCAGATATTCTGGTTGCCTCATCCTGTTGCATAGTTGGAGTTTCATTTCTTCAGTTCTCAGTCTCAGTTTTGCATGGAATCACCAGGAAGCTTTAAATAGCTGTGCCCAGGCTCCACTCCAGATCAGCTCTGTGGGAACCTGTGAAATCAGGGAATAACATCCGTATTTTTTTAGGAAGCTTCCCAGGTGATTCTGAGCACAGCCAGGGATAAGAACACTTCTTCAGCACTGCTCCTCCCTGACAGCTTTCTTGGAGAGACAGACATTCCTGGATCAGTGTTCCAGAAAGGTCCCTCAGGCCTTGTGAGAGGGAGGGGAAGGTGTTGGTGGGGGCAGGGCCAGGAGTATGAACTCCAGGACACACTGGTGGCTTTGTGCACCGTCACTGACCTGTGGTTTCTCTCTGGATCTTGGCATCTCGGGCACATTGTGTGCCCAGCACAGG